AGGGACCATGTTTTAAAATAAAAACCACACTAAAATGATGGATGGCGTGTGCAATTCAACTTGCAAGAGATGAAGTGTCTCCTAGCTTTTGGAGTTTGCGTTTCGTGTTATCACTTTGCTGTGCTGCTCACACATGTCCATCTGTGCTCAAGATTCCACGTTCCACGCCGGTCAGGGCTTCGGCGGGCAGCTCTCTCCCTCACGTAGGAAGAACGGCACTGAGAGCCGACAGTGCCACTCAGAAGGTCTTGCCATGCCCTAAATACATCTGTTTCGGTTTGCTTTCATGATAGTGCGTTTGATGTTTGTCAGAAGGAGCCTCCTGACTATTGTTGTGTTGGTGAGGAATGAACTGAATTCCTCTCATGGGCCATCAGCACTGGTGGCTGATTCTCTTCCACAAACCCCAAAACCTGGTCTCCCCCAAGCTCTGCAGTCCGGTGTGGCTGCTGTTCCAACAGCTGCCCCCACCCCTGTACCCCTGCTGGGGAGAGGCCTCTGCCCTGTGCAAAGCCAAGAGCACTTAGCCGTCTACCACCACCTCACTGCCAGCGGGCAAATTAACCCTCTTCCTTCCAGCCTCTCCCATGTCCCAACTCCAACACTGGAGTGCTATGTCCTAAGTACATCTGTTCCAACATTTCATATCGTATATGTTCATAAAGAACTTTCTGGAAGGTAACATTAACATGTAATGATGGTTAATTCTGAGAGATGAGTTTCTACCCTTCTCTACTGGAGATTGAACTCAGAGCTTGGTAGGTAAGTGCTTTACCATTTGAGCCATGCCTCCAGCCTTTTGTTTGTTTGTTTTTCACATAAGGTCTTGCACTTTTCTCTGGACCAGCCTTGGACTGTGATCCTCCTATCTGTTCCTGGGATGTCTGGGATTAGAGATATTCACCGCATGGCCAGTGTTTATTTCTCTTCATGGTAATGGAACACCGTGGTAGCTAGTGTTACTTGTCGCTTTGGCCGGCTCTCTGGTGAAGCACTGTTCTGAGTGCCTCTGTGAGGAGCCGGGTTTAGCTCAGCGGGTGAGGATGCTGTGTGGCTTTCCCCAGGGCAGATGGGAGCAGCAGATCCTTGGAAGCCCGAAGGTGGGGGAAGGTGGACCGGATCTGGAGGTGCCTGGCTGCCTCAGCTGGGACACCGTCCTCTGAGCTCAAAGCTCCTGTGCGCAGGCCTTCCCTTGTGGCCTGGAAGCTGCACCATCAGCCGTGGGCCCTCAGGCCTATGGGCTGCGCTGCTCTCCGTGGGCTCCAGCTAGCGGGTGACAGGGCCTGGGACTTCTCAGCCACACAGTGCTTCATAATAACACCCCCGCCCCCCCCGCCATTTCCCTCGACATGAAACACGCACTGCTGGAGTGAGGAATACCGCATCACCTGTCACTGGATAGGACGATGAGGGATGAGGAGGGGCAGCGGCTCAGGCACAATGAATCCTTAGGCCAACCAAGCACCGCGGACATCTTTGTCTTGGTGCTTCTTCGTTCTCACGGAAGGCAATCTCAATCCTCTTTGCAGACATTCTCGTGCTGGGAAGTCAGGCCGGTGAGACCTGCTGCCTGGGTCTGAGTCTGGCCCTGGAGCCCGAGAGCACCAGCTTGCGGGCAGGAAGCTGACGGGCAGCCGCCTGTGGGTGCAGAGCAGGCCCGTGCCCCTTGCCCTCACCCGCTGCCAGCCTCTGTCTACCTCACCCAGTGCCCGGCTCCTCCCCAGCTGGGCAGGGCTGGACCGATTCACTGTAACACTCCACTCCTTGCTGTCTGTTATCTCTATTAAAAGAGGCAACGGAGGCTGTTCGGGTAAAGCAGGTTTCCTCCGGGCTCTGCCCCTCTCCCTCCGCTCGGCCATTGCGGCTTTCCCTCACCATTGGCACCGGTGCTTTGCCCTTCCCACTCTGGGGCCGACGCCAAAGGCCCCTCCACGGCTATCCCTTCTCGGGCTTCAGTCCTGCTGCTTCCCCTGCCTCTGGCCTCCCCACTGCTCACCGCCACTCTGAGGGGAGGAAGCGTCCAGGGGGCCGGTGACCCGTGGGCTCTCCACCCACGCCTCTCCCACGCACTCCCGTCCACTGCTGGCGGCATTCGGCCCCAGTGGCCTCTCTCTCCTTTGAGATCTCCTGATTATGTCTCCGTTACGTTCTTAGTTCTCCGTTCTCGGGGTAGATGGAGAGAATTCAGAGAAGATTGCAGCATTCTCATGATGATGCGTTGTGTGCAGGTCCAAATCATTTACAAGAATTCTGATGGTCTACTGATGATTCTGCATGGCTTCATAATAACAAGAAGACAGAGGAACGGCTGCATGGGGCGCTGCTCTGCTCTTTTTATGTCTCAAGCTGAGGTGAGGGGACCCATACAACCTGGCTTTTCTGGACACAGAGGCCGCTGCAGGATACAGGCACATTCCTTCCCACACCAGCCACCTCCCTCATTAAAGTCCTCTGGCAGGGTCTGCCATCCTCAAGAGTTTTGACTGAAGCCAGGGAGACAATGAGAGTTATTACTCTTATTTGTTTTCCTGTGGCAATGTGGGAACTCTTTCTGAATTCTAGGTATTAGTCCTTGTCAGATAGGTAGCTGGCAAGTGTTTTCCCTCCCAGTCCTGCCTTTTTATCCTCTTCTTGGGGTCATTTACGAAGTGAATTTTTAAACGTGATGAGATCCAATTTGTCTAGTTTTCCTTTTATGGACTGTACTTTTGATGTCAACTCTAACGAGGGTCCTGAAGATTTCCCCCTTAACTCTCTAATCCCATGTTCAAGTCCAAGTCCATTATTTTCCAAGTCCATGGAAAAGACCATCTTATTTCCCTCCAAAAAAGTTTAGTGCCATTTTATTATAGGTTGCCATTTTTTCTTTTAACAATCACATTGTCACTCTGTAAAGATGAACTTTTTATGAACAAATTAATTTTTAAGTAATTCTGAAGGATTTCCCCTCTTTGGTTTTAAGCACTCCCTAAATGTCATTAAATGCTGATGATCTTAAACTTTGCTTTTTGTCCAAAACTGTTCATCATTAAGTGATTCTTTAATAGTTAATAAAATACTTTG